TGGGCCCGTTACATTAATGTTACCTCCCACCAGTAAAGGAAAATGATAATATAGTTATTTCATGAGCCTTTAACCATGCAGTATGTATTTGCTCTCTGCTATTTTAGTTAGTTTGTGGATACCTAGGTGTCACGGACTCACCATGCAGCGTCCAAGGTCCTCTGGATCGACATGTAGGGCCATCAGGCCGGCCATCTGGAAAGCTCATCCTGAGCATAATTAGTGCCATTTTGCACATTGATGGCCTCAAGCTTACCTTTGGTACAATCGGAAACGTCATTCTTATTACCGTGCTACCTCAAAAGGGTTTCCCCTTGCACGCAATTGTCGAAATACAAAGCATATCTATCAAACTTAACCTATAAAATATACAAAAATTGAAGTTTTATGAAATTAGCTTATAAATTGGGAGGATATTTAAGGTTGAAATTGAATACCTATTTCGAGATTAAGGTTATCTGTGTAAAATAATTCTATCCATATATTATCTCACTAATACTCGTAGCAAAAAACGAGTTTTTCTTGTACTAGAGCGTGTCGAGTTATTACCTTATCTTCTGAATTCTTTGTTTATACAAATCATCTCTCTCTAGTCATTATAATAAAGACGGACTCTCTTGTATGTACAAATCTCACATTTCCAAAACTCATTATTGAGTGTCGATTCTATTCCACTATCCTTACCCCTATCAATCAAAAATATTTTCTAAATGAATGTTTCGAAATATTTTGAGTGAACTAGCGTAACCACATATGATACGCTCATAAGGTTTATGTTAAGCCCCATTTTTCTTCAAATTCATTTTTAACTACTCATTCTCTCAATAAAATAATATTACACGTAAATTTAATTTTTTTTTCTACTTTTTAAGCATACATTTTTCATAAAAACCGCTATTATAAAATTTATTTTTCCATAAAATGAGGTTCAAACACATCCTAAATTATGTCTTAAATAGCTATGTTATTATAAAGGTTGAACCCCAACCTTGAGGGCCCCCCACCGACCCTGCCCTGGGCCATTGTGAAAGAGGTAAATCGCAGGATGTGCCTCCCAGGAGCCAGGGTCCACCCACCCTTTATAAATTTTATAATCTGTCAAACTACGTTTATCCACATATTTATCAAATCAATTAATAT